TTCTCTCCTTCCAATTGTGTTTTTCAGGTCCTGAACTCAGTAAAAATGATTTGAACTGTTAGAGAAATAAATGGGCTGTACTATTATGATGGAACTTATTCTGCAAAGACGGTTGGATGCAAATGGGAGTTCACGGTGAAGTTTAAAGCTGATGGAAGTGTGGAGAGATACAAAGCGAGAATAGCACCAAAAGGATTTACTCAAACTTATGGTATTGATTACCAAGAAACTTTTGTTACTGCTGCTAAAATTAACTTTGACCACTTCATCAATTTGATGTAAAGAATGCATTTTTAAATGGAGAATTGCAAGAAGAAGTATATATGGACCTGCCACCCGGATTTGAAGAAAAATTTGAAAAAGGCAAAGTGTGCAAATTAAAAAAGTCTGTATGGATTAAAGCAGTCTCCTAGAGCTTGGTTTGAACGTTTTGGTGGTGTTATCAAGAGACGTGGATTCTCTCAAAGCCAAGCTGATAACACCCTTTTTTTTAACATTCCATCAAATGTAAAGTAGTCATTGTGATTGTCTATGTAGATGACATAATCATGCCAGGGGATGATTCTCTTGAGATTAGCAACTTGAAGAGGAAAGTTGAAGCCGAATTTAATATTAAGGACTTGGGAAAGCTGAAATATTTCCTCGGGATGGAGTTTGCAAGATCCAAGGAGGGAATTTTTGTCAATCAAAGCAAGTATGTGCTTGATTTACTCAATGAAACAGGGATGATAGGTTGCAAGACAGCAGATACATCAATTGAACCTCATGTAAAGTTGAAAATAGCAGCAGCTAATGAGGTAGTGGAGAAAGCACACTATCAAAGATTGGTAGGGCCACTAATCTATTTGGCTCACACTCGACCTGACATAGTTTTTGCAGTGAGTATTGTGAATCAATTCATGCATTCACCTGGACATACTCACTTTAAAGTTGTATTCACAATTCTGAGATACCTCAAGAGAACTCCTGGAAAAGGACTTTTGTTAAAAAAAAAAGAACTTCTGATAGAGGCCTACACAGATACAGATTGGGCAGGAGATGTAAATGATAGAAGATCCACATCAGGTTATTGTATCTTTGTAGGCGGGAAAAGTAAAAAACAAAGTGTGGTGGCAAGGAGTAGTGCTGAAGCAGAATTCCGATCGGTGGCACATGGATTATGTGAAGTGTTATGGGTAAAAAGATTCCTGTAAGAGTTGAAGATTCTTGTACCAGCACCTATTAAAGTTTACTGTGACAACAAGGTTGCAATTTCTATAGCTCATAATCCAGTTCTACATGACAGAACAAAACATGTAGAAGTTGACAAACATTTCATCAAGGAGAAGATAAATAATGGTGTGATATGTATGTCCTAGATACCCAGTGCTAGTCAAACAACAGATATACTAATAAAAGGTTTTCCCAAAGTGCAACACGAGAATCTAGTTAGCAAGTTTGTCATGAGTGACATCTTCATGTCAGCTTGAGGGGGAGTGTTGAAAGATCTCGTCAATAATTGTGATTGTGTACCATATTTGTTATACTCGATATTTAGAAGTTTATGAACTGTATGAGTAATCTTAGGAATCTCTATTTATTTTCTTCTATATCAAGGTAGTTAGTTGAATAGTACATTTCTTCTTAATTTGGGAGATTAGCTGTCTTTTTTGTTCTTAGTTAAGCTCTTTAAAATGTTGTACATCAATATAGAATAATCATTCAGCCTTATATTATTCACTATTTTTAATAACTATTGTATAATATTTCTCTATTGCTAACTTATATGGCATAAAACCTTTAGGTTTGCTTAAAACAAATGCATTGCCAGTGCTCAAATTTCTCTCCCAAAATGTTCATGTACAATGAAAAGAAGGAAATTACAAACAAATCGACAATTACTAACATGAGAACAAGCTTTTAAAAACAAGTTCAAGAAAAATTCTTAGAGATACAACGAAATAGTACTCATATATCTATTTTTTCATGACTTCTCCTGATTGATTAAGAGAAAAAATTGATGTTGCTAACTTATCTACCATATAACCTTCAAGTTTGTCTCAAAGTTTATGCATTTTCAATGCTAAAAAACTTTCAAATAAAAAAATGAAGCCAGTGGTCAAATTTCTCTTCTCCCAAAAATGTTGCACACTGAAGATGATAAAAGAGCAAGCAAATTAGCAATTACTAACACGATAACAGACATTTAAAAAATAAGTTCAAGAAAAATTCTCAAAGATACAAAGAAACAGTACTCATATATCTATCCTTGCAAAACTTCTCCTGAATGATCATGAGAGAGAAATGATGGTGTTTGCTTATCTGTCATGCAACCTTCAAATTTGCCTCAAAATATATACATTTCTAATGGTAAAAAACTTTTAAATTAAAAAAAATAAAATCAATGCTCAGATTTCTCCCTCCAAAATGTTCATGTAGACTGAAGATGAGGAAATAACAAATTGGCAATTACTAACATTAGAACTAACATTTAAAAAACAAGTCCAAAAAAATTCGCAGAAATATAGAGAAATAGTACTTATATATCTATCATTTCATAACTTCTCATGAATGATTAGGAGGAAAAATTAATGTTGTTAACTTATCTGTCATGTAACATTCAAGTTTGCCTCAAAACATATACATTTCTAATGGTAAAAAATTTTCAAATAAAAACAAATGAAGCCTATGCTCAAATTTCTCACCCTAAAACATTCTCGTTGACTGAAGATGAGGAAAGAGTAAACAAATCGACAATTACTAACGTGAGAATGTATATATGAAAAACATGTCCAAGAAAATTTCTCAGAAAAATAGAAAAACAATACTCATATATCTACCCTTCCATAATTTCTTCTAAATGATCGTGAGAAAAATAGATGCTGCTAACTATCAACCATGTAACCCTCAAGTTTGCATCAAAACAATGCATTTCTAATGTTAAAAATCTTTCAAATAGAAAAAAATAGAACCAGTGCTCGAATTTTTCTCTTCAAAATGTTTCTCTTGACTGAAGAAAAAAATTACTAACATTAAAACAGGCATAATATAAACATATCCAACAAAATTTTTTAGAAAAATAGAAAAATGGTGCACACAAACGAATGCAGAAGCCGAACACATTGCAAATCAACCTTCTGTGAAGCCGAACGAGGAAATGAAGTAGTGGGAAACCGAAAACGCAAAAAAGGCATAAATGAAAAACCTTCAATGGAGGGAAACAACAAATCGACGACACCGACAACAGAGGGAGGCGAGCGCAACCGAGTTTCTGCACAAAAGACACAGGTGACAAATGAGGGGAGGGGATGAGGGGTATTTGCGCAAATATGGTTAGGTATTTCGCAAATTGAAGAGGGGTAGCAACATCAACTACCACTCACAACGGAGCTCTTGCCACGGAATGCACAAGCTCCCCTCCGTTTCGGTTTTCGCCGATCAGCAACTCGCTGACCGTGAAACTCACTCGAAAAAGAGGTTCCCAAATGCACCATTTGTCGTTCCGGAGACGATAAACCGAAGGAATGGGCTCCCAAACGCGCACTAAGTGAACATGAAAATTTTGGCGGAAGATTGTATTTATCGGATGAAGGCTTATACAAGAAAAACTATTTTCTAATTTTAACATAATATCATTTCTTACAAATCCTCCAAGGTTTCCACTTCCATCATTCTTCAATTCGTGCTTCCTGTTACCATAAAAGATAGTATGCTTGAGGCTTCACGTTTTTTCGTATTTTTTCCAGAATATTTTGTATATTCATTTTATGTAATGATGCGTTGGTCTTGTAAGTTGATTGCATCCAATAATTAAAGAAATGGTCATGTTTTGTCTATCTTACCTCATTTTTCAGCAGTATTCCAGAACATAATGTTGGCGAAGGGAGTGCATATGTTGTAGTTTTGGCACTCTTTTGATGTCAAATTGAATTAGAATTCACTTTTCCATGCACAGTTGGGAAATTCCAATATTTAAGATGTAAGAAGTGAAATTTTGAGAAATTTTAGATAATAACCTGTAGTAAGATTTTATGGTCTGTAATTGGGGATCAATGTTTTATCGAGAGAGATTTGCATGTTATCATCAGCATTATGATGGACATTCCGAACTATGTGATTCATGGATTGTAATTAATAGTTTTATTTGATTGGTATTTGTAGATATTTTAGAAAACTATCCTCGCCATGAGTCATGTTGTAGTTTTTTGTATTTACAAATCGATATTACGGAACTATTAAAAAACATGGTTAGAAATATCTTAATCTTAGACCATGCGGACCATTGATTTGCAGCATTTCATTCTATGTTGTTAATCTTAAAGTTTATTTAACTTATGGAGGTGTCATTGTTCCTACTAGTAGTTTGTGATAATTTTTATGTTTTAAAAGCTGTTTTCCATGTTGAAGACGGAGGAAATATGGTGGAATTTGGTTTTGACAAGAGCTAAAAATCTTTACGTGCATGTAAGTAAAAAGGTTGTTGGGAAGGCCATAAAACCAGTGAAGTCACATAATTTAATTAATGATGGATGTACACACATTTAGCTAAGGGTTAACGAAATTCCGTCACTTATTCTAGAAAATAGTAATCATCATTGTCATATGAAAGACAATAAATTGTAAATTGAAACTTTATTTACTGCAATTAGATTCCTATTTTCCATCTGATTAGACTTTTCCTGAGATAAATTTTATAAATAAAAACTAATATTATTCATAGCTAGGCAGATCATTAATGTAGTTGATGCCTCATCTCCTAGTATGATCCTTCTATGAATCACTTGCACGGAAATAAATTATAGCGGAACAACTATCTTTTTAAAATATTTGATGCAATTCTCCAAATGAGCTTTGTTTCAAAATCAGACATTCTGGTTACAATAACTCTTCATTTGCATGCTGCTTTTCTTATGTGCTTTCTATTTTGAAGCTAAATACTCCAGCAGGGCAATATGTATTTCTTTTGTTTTTATTTTATTTTTTTTGTTTGGTATTTTGTCATATTTTGTCATCCATTGCAGGGGGTTGAGATTGTGGACAAATCTCATGACCAAGGGTCAACCGACTTACGCAAGTGTGTAACTTTTATTTGTGGGGGCCCTTCCATTTTGGAGAAATCGAATGTAAGCGCTTGACTATAATTCTAAATCATATTTTGTTAACACTGATGATTTAAACTGTGCTTTTGTTGTAATTCCTATAGTCTATAACTATGCATTACAATGAATAAAATATTTTGGGTACAAATGAACATGCTATGACATGAAACTACTCCTTTTTCTCATTATGAGGTAAAACTTGGCCTCTTTCATATGAATTTGGAAGATATTATTATTCTCATTTTTTTTAAGATATTATTATTCTCTTCTTATATCTTTTCTAATTTTATATTTCATTAATGTTAACATTTCATTTATATAGTAATTTAGCAATCAGGGGCGGAACCAAAATGTAAAGTGAGGGAGGCAAAATTAAAAAATCAATTAAAATATATTGAAATTAAAATTTATTTTTTAACAAAAAAAATAAATAAATGAAATGAAAAAAAATTATTGAGAACAACTTATAAAAAAAAAAGAAAGGCAGAGGTAGACTTAAAAGGATTTGGGCATATTATATAAGAAAAGATCTTAATCTATTAGAGTTAAATTAAAGTATGACACTAAATAGGACTCATTGGAGAAAAGGATTCATGTGACCAGCCTCATATAGTGTGATAAAGACTTCTTGTTATTGTTGTTGTAACGTATAAAATAAAAAAATAATTCTTTTAATCTTATTGTTATGAATGTACATCTTAAATTGTGTCTGATAATTTTTTATGGCATTGAAATCATCAATCATTGATTTTATATGGAAACTCATTGCAATATTATTTTCAATATATGTTATCAAGAACTTGCAAGAGAATCATCTTTTATTTTGTCGAGATATTCTAAAAAAAATGATTTTGACGAGCTTCAATTTTAAAATGTTGTAATTATATTTTTAAGATAGTTTTTTTTTTGTATCTGTGAAATCTTTCAAGTTAGAATTTATTTATAAATTGATAAATATTATTAATTTTAAGTGATCTATATTCATCTCAATGATTCAATGTTGAACTAAGAATTAATAATTATATATATATATATATATTATTTACTTTATCGCTAAATTTCTTAATTTACCAAATTTACTTAATTTACCGTTACCTTCTCCGACAACGGCGCTAAAAACTTGATTACAAAATTACTCCCCCGCGGCTCTGAGACAAGGCTTGCCCGCTCGCGTGTTCTGCGCTCGATCGCGTGTTGCCCGCTCGCGTGCTCTGCGGCCCGTCTCGCCGCTCGTTGTTTCCTCTCTGCTAGGCTCGTCTCCCGCTCGTTTTTGCGTTCTTTGCGCCCGTTCCGTCTCAACCCACCATCCCTTTCTTAGCTTCGGCTATTTCGACGCGATTTTTTCCCAGCCTGCTTTCTTCTCTAACGTCGCAACTATCTTTGAAGATGGTTTCGGACAAATCTTATGCAGCTGCCCTTGTCGGTGTCCATGTCTCAGGCACACCAAAATCATCATTTTCCCCTCTTTCGTTTGTGTGGGGGAATAACATCAAGAAACCTGGTAGGAAGAATGAGAAGTCTGCCATCTTTTTTACAGAAGCTGAAGGTATTCAACTTGCTTCCTCCTGTCGTCTGAATTTGGTTGGGAAATTTCTATATGGTCATCCCAAAATGGAGTTCATTTGCAAAGAATTTGAACTTATACTCCTTGTTGGAGAATGAAAAATCGAGCTATTAGATGGGAGATACATTTTTATTCAAATTAGCAATGAAGAAGATTACATGCGCTTATTTGCTAGAAGGATAATATGGATTGATAACAGAGCAATGAAGATTCTGAAATGGTATGTGGATTTTGACTCACGTACGAAACCTCTAATTATTCCGGTTTGGATTCGTGTCCTTGATCTGAAATTTCATTATTTTACTCAAAAAGTATTGTACTTTATTGTCTCAGGTTGTTATAAACCACTCATATTGTTACTTTTAATTTGTCTCGTTCTTCTGAAATCAGAGTACTTGTTGAAAGAGACATCACTTCACCCGCTTCCTAGGAAATCTGGTTGGGCACACAACATCATGGATATTGGTAGAAGGTAGAGATTGAACATTTTCCGTACATTTGTTCGAACTGTCATATGTTCGGACACTCCAGTTCTCAATGTCACCATCTACACTTCTCAATAGTTCTCAATGTCACCATCTACACCCCCACCTCAGACCAAAAAAACAAATTGTTCTGCTAGAGGCTGTGATTCCATCTCCTTCTTATCAGACAGATAATATGACAACTATTCAATCCCCAGTTGTAGCTCCCTCGTCTTTGGAACCTCCTATCGTGGGGGAGGGAGTTTCTTCAGACCCCGCTTGCCGTAGATCCTATCACTGATAATACAAATGGAAATACTTCTACTGTTTCACAATCGCCTCATAAGGTCCAGAACGATGTTAATATTACTCAGGTTTATGGGGATCAAGACGTGCAACGACCTACACTTATCCGACCACCTTTGGAATCTACTGATAAGATGAGTCAATCATCGAATGGGGAGTGACAGGTCTACACATCTAGGAGGAAGAAGAAGAATTAAGATCTACTTGAGCTCAGGAATCTGATGGATGATACTTTGATTACTACGGGCAATGGGACACACCTTACCAATTTGTTAGCCGGCTCACTTCCGAGAACTAGAGGAAGGAGGACTAAAGTGGGACGTCCCTAGCACTTTTGTGCCCTTTTGTGGCTTTCTGGTTTTTTACCTTTTGTATCTTTGTTTTATCTGAGTTTTTGTGTATGTTGTATTGTATGAGTTGGGCTTTCTTTTAGGTCCTCTCATACAACTTTCCTGTATTTATTTTCGTATTAATATATTTGCCCTCGGGCTTTTTCAAATATATATATATATATATATATACACACACACACAATATTTTTAATAAAATAATTTTACCTTCTGAAATAAAGAAGATTATTATGTTTCTCTTAAATTTTAGAGAGGATATTTGATTGTTGATATTAAATATGCATTGCATTCAAGGTAACTTATGACATCCTTTGCAATGCTTGACAAATATCAACATATGTAAATTTTAAATTTTTTGTCATAAGATATAAAATATAAAATCATAACTGTGTCGCAGTGTTCGATGATGGTTTTGAATGAAATCAGGAGAGGGGAATTGAGATGGAGATTATGAGGTGGGCAGCCTATAATTTTGGTCGGGTAGTGGGGGGATGGGAGGAGTCATGGTTATATATAATTTTTGTAATTAGTTTGAAGTGACTTTTATTTAACATTTACAATTTTAAAAATATTAAATTATTAATATATAACATGATATTACATAGTTATTAAAAATATAGAGCATTGCTCCCCTCAACCCCCCTTAGTTCCACCACTACTTTTATTTAACATTTACAATTTTAAAAATATTAAATTATTAATATATAACATGATATTACATAGTTATTAAAAATATAGAGCATTGCTCCCCTCAACCCCCCTTAGTTCCACCACTACTAGCAAATGAAGAAGTGTCTCACAATTACAAAGAAATGAGAGAACATCTTGTAGATTTAAAGAAAAAAAAATAGAAGACGCCCCTTAGTTCCTCCACTGCTCCTTATCTAATACTTAATCCAATGTTATGTATCGGTAGCATTCTTCTAATTTTTTTCCTTAAATCTTCAAGATGTTCTCTTATTGCTTTGTAGTTGTGAGACACTTTTTCATTCTAACTATTCAACTTTAAGATTAAAAGCTATTTCCGTCCCTCCATCCTTAATTTTTCATGAAGTAATACAAGGTTCTTAAACATATTCATCTGAGTATCATTGATTTTATGGTATTATTGATTTTACTTATCAAATGTTTATGTCATGTACTTAGTATTCTATAATACTCTAAAGCCTCTTATTAAAAATATAATGTTTATTTTAACTTATTTCAATAGATATCTTGCTTATCCAATAGCAAATAACATACACCAAACTAGTTAATTTTGAACTCTTTTATTACCATTTCCATAAACAATACAAAATGGTATGGATCTAATATTGATCATTGATATAATCATTTTGTCATCGGTAACTCTTTGGTTTATCCATACTTATTTCTAATAGTATGATTATAACTTGGAACTCTTACACTTATTTTGCTTTCTTAGCCATAGAAGCTCAATCCTCATGACACTCGAGCATAGTCTTCTTTTAATTATTTTAATGGATCTTGTACATATAAAACAAAATTATTTTGTTATCCTGACATTTTTTTCCAAATCCTTGTTCTATTATCATATCTTATAAACTAGTTGTATCACTCGTACATTTAATGATTTTGTAATTACCAGAATGCTTAATGTCTCTGTAGTTAATTTGACGTTGTTACCAAAATGCTCCTCTAATTGTTTGATGCCCTCTTAGTCAAATTATTCCAAACTTTAAATTGTGCAGTAATTGGGTTATAACCACAAAGACAATTTCATGTGCTATAATACCAATTTTTTTAGCAAATATTTTGAAGGCCCGGATGACTTGTATAATGAATGAAAAAATTGCTAGCCTTATAGATTTGTAAATGTTCTTCAACTTTGATCTTTTTGGTGCTCTCATGGGAAAAGCTGTGTTATAGATACACTTCCCACGTGAATAAACTTGAAATTTGAAATATTGAATCAGTGTAATCTTATGGTCCAGTCTTCTATTTTAGTTTTTGGCAAAAATACCAGTGCAAGATTCCATGTGCTCCTAAATGTTCTTACTCATCTACCATCATTTAAGAGTATTGTATAATAATAACATCTTTATATTTATCAATAAAGTCTACATCTCTATATGTAAAAACTTAATTGTATCAATGAATTTAACACTTTTTTTTGCAGAACATTTCTTCAGTTGAGTTCTTGCAGCACCATTCTATTGTTTTCAAGCTTACCTGTTAGATTAATTGTTAAAATTCTACTGCAAATATTTATGCTTAAAACTTCAGCTTTGTATTCTTGTTCTTGGAGCACTTGGGGGAAGATTCGATCATGAAATTGGTAACATCAATGTGCTTCATCGGTTTTCGAACGTGCGCATTATTCTTCTATCCGATGATTGTTTGATTTTTCTTCTTTCAAAAACTCATCGTCATGAGATCTATATCGAGTCATCCGTGGAAGGTTCGCAATGTGGTCTGATACCAATCGGTGCACCATCAGCTCGTACCACAACACATGGTCTTAAATGGGATCTTTGTGAGTATCCACAATATTTTTCATCGTCCTTCTTTGTATTATATCACGCACACACTCATATATATAGGGCCATTTACATACATATTACATCAAAAATATAATCATTTTAACTTTTAAAAAATGAAATGCATTTTTTTTTTTCATGCATAGGTAAGGTGGGATCATGTAAAAATTGAAGTTTAGATGTTAGATATGTAAGTAAATAAGAATTGATTGGTATTTATGTTAATCTTCCATTTATATATATATATATATATAGCATTTCCCTTGTCATGCTGCTTAATATAAAAAGGAACATTTTCTCTTATAATCACATTTTTTTCTTAAGTTAAAGCAAGTAGGATCTTTCAAAACCTAATATGATATAAACCGTAGGTTGTGTCACTTATTTACTATCATGCTTAACAATTGTTTGGAAAAAAAATATATTGGCATAGGATATTCTGACCAAATTTTTTTTTATTTAGATGGATGTCAAAATCTTTAGATCGGCTTTAAGCCCATATCTTTTTGCATTAGTTATGGTTGGTCTTACTGGACATTTACTGGAGGATGTACCATGGTGTATGTTTTTTGCTGATGATATTCTTCTTGTGGATTAGACGAGAGAAAAAGCTCAGGAAATTTATGGAGATCTACATTGAAGTCTAAATGACTTCATTTGAGTAGAACTAAAACTGAATACATGGAATGTAATTTTAGTAGTAGTAGCTCTAGTGATAGAAGTGTCACTTTGGGTGATCTAATTATTGAAAAGCGTGAACGATTTAGATATCTTGAGTCTGTTATTTAAAGTGATGGTGATATAGATGGGGATGTTAATATTAGAATTCAAGTTGTTTGGTTGAAGTGGAGGAATGCTTTGGGCCTTTTGTGTGATAGAAAAGTTCCTCTTAGACTGAAAGGAAAATTTTTTAAGATGGTGGTGGGACTTGCAATGCTCTATGACAATGAATGTTGGCCTTTAAAAGAGAAGCATAATACTTAGTTAAGTGTTGTCGAGATGAGAATGATTAGGTGGATGAGTGGCTTTACACTTAGAGGCAAAATGAGTAATGAATATATCCATGATAGGGTTGGTGTAGCTCCAGTGACGGACAAAATTATAGAGAGTCGTCTTAGATGGTTTGATCACATTAAATGTCGACCATCTAATGATCCGATTAGGAGAGTAGATGTTTTAGATTCAACTTATGTTAAGAAAGACAGAGGTAGACCTAGGAAGACTTGGGCTTATTGTTTAAAAAATGATCTTAATTTATTATAACTAAATGAAAATATGACACTAAATAGGACACAATGGAGAAAAAGTATTCATGTAGCTGACCCCACATAGTGGGATTAAGGCATTGTTGTTGTTGTTGGATCTCAAAATCCTTAAATTTACTTTGAGATGCATGATAATTTTTTAATGATTTTTGAAATATATTATACTCATCTCAAAGCAAATACAAAGAATGTGAGGCTCATCTAAAATAAAATTTGTTGGGAATATTTTGTGCTGAAACTTTTCCTGCTTCTTTGTCTCCAGCTGAAACGGGAATGCATTTTGGTGGATTGGTGAGCACATCTAATTCTGTGCGGGAGGAGAAAATTACAGTTCAATCTGATGTAGATCTCTTGTGGACAATTAGCCTTCGCAAACCATGCTGATGAATTCCCATGTGCCCTATAGATTTTAAACTTCTATAATAACAGGCAATTTTCTCAACTCATATGCAAATTTATATTTTGAATGATTGCATTTGACCAAATTATAGAAAGGAGCATGCAAATAAATTGAATTTGTGGGAGGAGCATGAAAAAAAAAAATTTAAAGGAGCTCAAACGCTCCCATTGGGGGTGTTTCATGTTTCATGTAAACATGAAACGCTCCAGAAACGCCCCTTTGGGGCATATTCATTAAAGTATTATAAAAAATAATTTTGGGTATATAATATGATATTCTAATTAATTTAAATATTAATATGTATTACCTATTATTATAAATATAATATTAAGTTATATTACATTAATTAATATTTAAATAGTATTAAATTAATTTAAAAGTCTATAAAAAAATAATTAATTAACAATAACTCAAATTCATAATTTTTTTCACGTTAAAATATCCTCATAGCATCGTGTTTACAAAATAATAATTTCTTCCACAATGGGATAGAATAGCTCATGAGCCCAATGTATATCGAGATGAGAGGCATAATTGTCGTTGCAACTGTTGGTCTTGAATTTTTACTTCAGCATTCTCATCTTCAATGGCGTCATTCGTAGCTTGCTGTGGCATCCAGTATTTTTCTTCATTCATGAGAATTGGTGTTGTATAGATTAGAAGTATTGAAATTTAGGCATGCATCAGATACAGGCGCAAACACGAGCATGCTTTGAAAATAGTTGTCCAAATTCTATTGATGGAGATTTGGATTTCAATTTTCAAAACATGCATGTATCTGCGCCAATATCTGATATAGGCTTAAATTTTAGTACATCTCCAATTTATACACCACCACTTTCCACGAATAACACAACTGAAGATAAGATTATTAAAGTTGAATTTCAATACGATCGATTGTGATATCTACCACTGTGACCACTATCTTGATATACACTGGGCTCAAACACCATTCCATTTCATCGCCTCGTATAAAATAATATTATTTTATAAACATGATGTTATGATGATGTTTTAATGTGAAAAAATTTATGAATTTGATTTATTGTTAACTAATTCATTATATATATATTAGCTCTATTATTTTTTTTTTAATGCTCTTCCCCAAAACTTAACTTATTTACATGCTCCTTCCTATTATTTGGCCATTGCACATGTTATCATTGTTGAATTTTGTATGGGTTTATTTACATTTTGCTATCAATGTAATTATGAGTATTTTAGCTTTGAAAAGCTTTATTGGTCTCATGGCTTAATTCTTGTTTATAAATAAGAAAATAGAGCATGTGTACTTAATTTACAAACGTTGTTAGTGATTTGTGAGGAATTATGCTTTGTCTTTATTATATACTTAATGCAATTCATAACCTAATCCTTGGATTATAATTTGAGCTTTGTTTGGGAGAAATGATTAGTTGTGTGTGGCTTCTATTTATTTATTCCAAATTACTGCATTTATCAGTAATTAGAGTGATAAAAAGATAATTACAAAATTTTAATTGTTTACTTCATTTTAGTGGGGGCATATACATACATATAACACATTTCTTATGTATTTATAAATCTAGTACTTAAACATTCATTTTTACATGCATATTATTAAAATTTTTAACATATTAAAAATATCAACATCATTATATTTAATAAAAATAAAATATACATTTTCATGTATAAATTTATGATATGTAAATACGTTAGAATTATGCAGTGTGTTTGTAAATTTATCTTCATTATATTGTTAGGATTATTTTTATTTGCTTGGATGGAATGCATTATTAAACATCTTAGATGGTTTATATTATTAGTCGTCTTAGAAGGTTTGGTCACATTAAACATCAACTATCTGATGATCCGATTAGGAGAGTAGATGTTTTAGATTCGATTTGTGTTAAGAAAGGCAGAGGTAGACCTAGGAAGACGTGGGCTTATTGTATTAAAAATGATCTTAAATTACTAGAACTAAATGGAAGTATGACACTAAATAGGACGCAATGGAGAAAAAGGATTCATGTAGCCGACCCTATATAGTGGGATTAAGGCTTTGTTGTTGTTGTTGTTGTTTGGATGGAATGCATTATTAATGGTGACAAACAGGAGCATGCATCAAGACACTTTATTATTTAGCACCCATATGAAGCTATGGTCACCAAAAATATTTATTTTTGAAATTAATAAATATGACCACATAAAACATCCATTTGGTTATTCTATAATTAAAATCAAATAAGAAAGTTGAGCTATGATGAATGAAAACTTCTAATTAAGGAGTTGTGTAGTGCTGGACATTTCTGAACTCGCTTGACATGCCCATACGCGTACGACATCTAACTTGTTAGCTTTAAATAATATTAAAAAAAGTGACGCATGCCGCACATGTGTCTTAATTTAGTGAATTAAAAATTTATAAAAATTTATTTTAAAAATTTATGATATTTTTTTTATAAGTAGAATAATATGTATATATATATATATATAAAGGTTAAATATATTTTTTTCAATTTTTTCATCTGATTTTTTTTTTCTCACAGACATGCATGAGCTATTTATCAATCGCTTGTCTCGACGGATATTTCTCATTATGAACATTTAATTTTTGAAAGATAATATTATTAAATTTCTCATCAT